CAGGTCACACAAGTTCCTTATCTTCCCTTCAGCTCCTTGTTACCTCTGCTGAAAGACCTTCATGCCAGAATACAGCAGAATAATTAAATATTGCTGGTGGCACTTGGAGGTGGAGTTTCTGCTCTCCTGGCACACACAGCATGGCTGACAGGAAGGCGGAGGGGTAGCACAGCTTTTTGGGGGTTTTTTTAAGTGTTTTAAGAGAGCTCCAGGAAGAGTTTTCTCCAGCCTGGAGTCCTGCCACTGAAGGAATGACATCCTCTCCTCTACACAGATAAAAGTGACCAGAGTTCCTGCTGTTAAAATTCCACTGAAACTTGGCACAGTCACGGTCTACAGCTTGATTTGCTCTTTTGCCTTCACACAGCTGCAGACAGCACTGCAATACTGAATCTAAAAATCAAGCCCTGACTGAAATGAAACGTGCTACCAGAAAAAGAAACAGAACAATTAACAAATACCACTTGAATTAGCAAAGTACACTACGACAGCAACCCAGGGATTCTGTCCCATTGTCACAGTGTTAAATAACTGACGGATGGCTGTGCCCCTACCTCTTCTTATGCCCGTGCACACAAAGGCTTAAGGGCATCCCAGTACAGGACCAGTCCTTGCTGGATGAGAGTAAGATGCGGTATCATGTAGCCACGTGCTCAGAGAAATAATCTTCTATTATTCCAGCAATTCTTACGTACACATAGTAGCTAAAGACCAGAAAGTCTTTACCTTACGAGGGCTGTCCATAAAGGTGGGTGTGATAGCAATGCTCCCACTCTCCGAAGGCTGCCCAGAGCTCTTCCCAGACAGCATTGCTGCTTGCTGTTCCCCCAGTGTCCTGAAACAAAAGGAAGGAATCCAGACTTTGTTCAAACATACTCTCTGTGAGCTTCCACCTGAAAGCAACTGTTGCCTTCACTGTCTTCACTTCTGAAAACTGTTGTATTTTTAGATATTTGCTCTCCCACCCTGAAGCACAGAGTCAATCTCATGTTCTCTAAGTACTTTCTACCCACATAAACAACATGGACCATTGAGCTTACTCTGTTTTATTAGGCATGTGTAATACTGCCTGATCATTAAAAAGATTTCAAAATATCTCAAGTATTTAACAGCAACAGTGTTTTAAATCGTGTTTACAGCATATGTTGTACTAGTACTCCGAGTTCTTTGAACCATTCTAGATCAGTACTGAAAAAGAGCCTCAGAAGTTTCACTAGGTATTTTAAATAGCTTGTTTGCACTGATAATATCTATTTTCTTCAGGCTGTATTTGTAACCCAGTGTTTATACTGAGACCACTCAGCTGGTGCTGTGTACTTGTGTACACCTATGTGCTCATTAAGCTCTTATGTGGATACTCCTGTACTGGCAAATCACAAATCCAGTGTGCACTGGACTGAAATGCTACTTAAAAAGATGCTCTGCCTAAATCACTGGACATACACTTCTCTAGTCTCCAGGTTCTTTTCCAGTCTTTGGTATTCATTCTAATAATGGAAACATAATACAAGGAAGTCACAGGAAAAGCCCAGTATCTCCCCAGCCCTGCCACAAGGATACTAAAGCAGCAGGATCCCACATCCCTTTCTTCAAGGCAAAGGTCCCACATCTGCTTTAGCAGCCCCGGTGGAAGATAGGCAGGAAGGATGCTCTGGTGCTCTTCACACAGCCCAGCTGCAGACACTCACTTCTGACTGGCTTCCATCTCCAGCAGAGCTGAGAGAGCTGAGGTTCCTTTCTTCCCAATGGGAGGCCCAGACTGCTCCAGAGAATGGGTGGGAATTGGACCAGCAATCTGCAAGCCTTTCATGGCAGACCCTTTCTAACGAGGAAAAAATGAAAGCACAGACTTAGTTAGGTCAGGCTTAACTAGTGAGCAAGAAGGCAACACTTGGCGTCAGTCGGGCTGTACAGGCACACTTTCAAAAGGGAGTCAAACCATAGGCACACACGGAGTGGAATAGCCTAGTGTCTTGTGTGGATGCTGTTCCCAAAATCAAATGGGTGTTACTTTGGAAAAGGTGGATTTGTTCCAAAATAAATCACCCTATTTAGTGTATGAGTTGGAAGAGAATTTGATACACACAGGTTTCTCATCACTCTCCTGAAAATACACAATCATTCCCCTATGGCTGCAGCACACAGCCAACCCAGCCAGCAGTTTCCAGCTTAACTACCTCACAGACCCGTTTTCTCAGTTGCTTGCATCGCAAGGCGCAGTAATGTGGCCAGGCTAACCGTATCCACAGCACAAAGCAATGCACTTTGGGAAAGAGGGAGCATCAGCCTTGTCGTAAGAGAAGACCAGCTGAGCTAAAAAACAGGTGAAGGCATGGCTATGCTGCCCAGAACAGCTTGGCTTCTCGCTGAGTGAGCCAACTGTTCTGATTCTGCTTCACGGCCACGCCAGCAGGGGATACCCATTCCAGGTTAATTTAATTAATTAGCTGAAGAATAGCAAGGTGTCAACAAGGCCATGCTGTCTGAAACCTGAACCAGAATGTCAGTCAGCACTGCGCTTCATGTATGGACACCCACACACACACATCCCCCAGCTTGCTTGGGACCGCCGCAGGGTCTCTGCTAATGCCTCCTTACACGGTTCAGATCAACCTCAGCTTCTCACCCAGCTGAAAGCTGACTCACTCGAATCATTCGATCAGATCGATGGCGCCGACGAATGCGGTTCAAACCCTCCACAAAGCGAATGAATCCATCAAGGAGCTGCCACTCCTCCTCATCAGAACGGGGCTTGTCGCCGTACACATCGCAGTGCACTTCTCCTTCCATGATGCGCTTCGTGGCACTGATGCAGGCCGGCAGGAGCAGAAAGCGGGTCCTCCAAAATTTCAGGGACTCAATAAGGCTGAAGGAAGATGGAAGACAGGACAGAGTTTAGCACAGAATCCCATGATGAATCTTACAGTGGGTAAAATAATACGTATCTATCTGCTGTGAACCTCAGTGAGCATAGGGACAATCTCTTCTGCTGCCCAAGAGAACAAGAGAATATAAGCAAAGGAACGGGCAGCAATATCGGAATCAAAAGCAAGGCTATCTTCAGAGTAATTGTGTCAGAGAGAGATTTTCTTTTCTGTAAAAGACAGGCTACAAAGATTTTTTTTTTCTAAAAATAAGCAGAGAAAAATGGCAGACATTGGAGTAAGAGGCATTTTGATTGAGACCTGAAAAGAAACAAAGAAACAGAGAGGCTGGTTTTGATGAGAGAAGATATCAAAAAGGCTATTGACACTAGTGGAGATATTCCACATTGCTAATGGAATTCCACATGGCTTAGAAGTAGGACTACCATCAAGCTAAGCCCAGGACTCAAGCAACGCTCTACCAGATTCAAAACTAAATGGAAGTTTTGAGTCAGATCCAGAAATGAGTAAGAAGCCCAGAAAAGCATCTGTGTGGTACAAAACGCCATCATATTTCTTTGCATTTCTACCAGAGGGAAAAAAAAAAACCCACACTTCACAGTGAATCTTTCTGATCAAGACCTTGTATCAAAGATCAGATAATGCTTCAGCAACCCCGAGTCAGATTCCTCCAAGGCAGCAGCTGCTAGCACCATACGAGTGAAAGCAGGCCAGCTGCTCTCCTGGGGATACTGAGCGTTTGTGGGTTGAACTTGTTGGAGAAACTACAGGTCAAAAAGGAAAAGAGGCAATTAGGACACAGAACAGTCTGGATGGAAAAGGAGATCTCACCTGAAATCCTCAGAGCCAGCAGAGCAGATATACTGATCCAAGTAATTCCACTTGTACTCTTCCAGTCTCTCATGGGAAAATTCAACCCAGCAAGAGACAAATTCAGAGTCAGAGTGTGAGGGGCACAAGCTGTAGGTGTAGTTTATCTGAGCAGATTCGTACGGATACCTCAAAGAAAATGCAAACATTAATCTCATCAATAGCAACGCTCCTTTTTCTTCTCCTAAAGAGACAGAAGGTTCTACGGTGCCTTCTTTCAAACAAGCACAGGCAGCTTTTCATCTGAATGCTGACAGCAAACTGCTCAGCCAGAGAGATACTCACTTTGGCAGGTATCGAGTCACCGTGATTATTTTGTCTTTTAACGTCACTTTGTGGAAAGTACGGCCCATGCTCAGCCAGTACTGATCTTCTTCCTCAGGTCGATTTCTTGATACAAGACCTAATTGTCAAAAGCAAAACACACCCCCTTTCAGCTTACTGCAGCAGTCAGAACTCTGCCAAACTGTACCTATAGACAGAGACTCCAGAATTGCGCTTCTGAACTCAAGACAAACTACAAGCCACCTTCCAGGCCACCTTTTTAAGGGACATATGCACAATGGCCTATTGTTCTTACAGTTAAGATTTGCTGGTATCACACCCGAAGAAGAAGGGCATACACAATTCATACACCACCAATACAGACACCTCTAGTCAGGACAACTAGCAAACAGACAATATGAAGCGTTGAGAAACTGGTGGGTATGGAGCTGGGCTCCACTTTCACTTCTCTGTGCTTCATTCCTGGAACTGACCACTTAAGCTTGGCACTTTACCAATGGAGCCCCGCAGCTCATTCCCAAACCAGGGAATAACAGCTATATCCTATTCCAGCGTCCTCCCTGTTCTCCCAACACTGCATCACAGACTTATCTAGAGGTTATCCAGAAAAAAAGTCAGAAGTCAAACAGCAAGTCGCATTCTCTCAAGGGAATAGGAGACCCTCTCAACCCACTCCAGTCCTCTGAGGTTTAGTTAGATTCAGCTGACTCATGGTTTCAGGACAATGAAGCTTTATTTATCTGGGACCAGCTATTTTAGAGTTAGGAAACTGCTTCTAGCTACTGTGCTGGGTTCAGCCAGGAAAGGGGTAAATCTCTTTACTGTGGCTGCTAGAAAGCTGTGTTCCTGGATGCAGGGAGCAGTACTGATAAGTTCTTAGCTGGCACTGAGGAATGTCTGTACCAGTTTCAAGGTCTTTCCTCCGCTTCTGATACTGCAGCTGCGTTCCCAGCTCTCGCGGTCTCGCTACAAAGAGTGCTGGGACATAGAGTTCAGACACCTGACAAAAAAACTGGCCAAAGAGGTATTTCATCCATAATACGTCATGCTGGGGGCAGAGACGAGGAGGGGGTCCAGTCGCCGTTGCTCTTCCTCCCTGGCTCTCTCCGGTTCGCTCCCGTGCGCTTGGTGGTCCTCACCCTGACTCCTGCGTTGGCTGCTTCGCTAACTCCTGTGCTGGCTGGTTTGTGAGGGAGTTGGTGGGTTTGTTTAGCTTTCCCGGGCTGCTGTCGCTGTTGGGGTTTTTTCTGAATCTGCCGCGGCAGCGCTCGGGCTCCGGCCTGCGGCCCTCGGCCTGCGATCGCTCTCGGGCTCTCTGGGTCTGACTCCCACTGCTCAGCACCTGTTGTGCATCGGTCGGTGGGCGGTGAGGAATTGTGTCATGTTGTATCGTACTGTATCATATGTTTTATTTTCTATTGCTTTGGTTATTTGTTATTAGTGGTACTTGTATATATGAATTTGGATTTAGTTAGTAAATAGTTCTTATCTCAGTTTTACGAGCTTCCTTATTTCTTTTTCCTCCAATTGGTCCCCTCAACTGGGGGAGGGGAGGGGGATTTGTGAGAGCGGCTTCGTGGTGTTTTGCTAGCCGGAGTTAAACCACGACAGCTACATACATTTGGGAGCTCTGGGTCTGTCTTCTTCTAGAGGTGTGCCTACGCTGCAGTTAGCATGTGAACTGTGTTCAGATGCATCCCCCCAAACGTCACTCAAGCCACATTTCATTTGGGTTCACCAGCATCAATATGAAGCCGGTTTCTTATTACAGTTCAAAAACCTGGCAGCTGTCCCTTCACGGTGCAGCTGAGTTGTTTGTGTTGGCCCAGATCAGGCTCCCTCCCAGCAAAGATTCGCATATAACAACCACCACACGGAAAGAAAAAAAGGAAAAAAGAGGGCTTCCAAGAGCATCTATGCCCGATTCATAGAAGTTACTGGGATTGGCAGAAGGAAGGACGGCAGACTGAGCTGTCAAGACAGAGTCACTCACCTCGGCTGTAGAGGGGACTGCTGCTGAGCGGGGGTGGCACAGTCGCGGCTGGTTTCTGCGGTTTGGATTGCACAATAATTTGATAGCCTTGCATGAGACGCTGACAAATAAACTCCTCAAACACCTGTTGGGCTGTCATCTGCACTCCTTCCTCATCTCTCCTGAACACAAAGGTTAGGGAGACTAGAATAAGGAAGCTGACCACACACCTATTCTTAGCTCGGTGTTTCCTAACTGAGGAGTTACGCCTGCTCTGAGCTCTGTGCAAGTGGAGCCCTCTGCCTGTGAGCACCAGCCTGCAGGAACAGGAGAGAAACTGGGCGCCTTGCTGTGTCAAACAAGTGACCATTAGCTGTCTGGCAGTACTTATGAAGGCCTTTGAAAAGTTTTGCAACTAGTAACAAATTGGCTGAGAACAGTTATTAAACTTCCAGTGAATTTACCCACAATCGCTCTTACAGCGTTTTGCAGAGATTCTCAGTGCAGTTGGTAAAAGCTGAGCAGTGCTCAGAACTGCAAGTGTGCGGGCAGTGCCGCAGGCAACGCTCCACCCGCTG